CAGCTGTGAGATGGGGTTCTGAGGAGTAAATTTGATTATATCAATATGATAAAGTAGTGATAGCTATTAGTGTCCATGTGAGTATTAGTATGCGTACGAGACAGTAGCGGTGTGTAGCAGTCAGGACCCAGATGCGGGTTTGGTCTCTAGTCACACCCCCTACAGAAACTGGGGAAGGAAACAAAGGCATCTGGGGGGTCTTGAAGAGAATTGTTCACTTTTTTTTTTTATTTGATTGTTCACATTTTTAAAAATTTCAAAACGAGCTTCCTTTAAAACACTTGGTACATGCATTTTACTTGTTTGCTCTTTTTTTTTTGGTACGTGCCCCTAGCGGGGACCGAACCTAGGACTCTCTAATCCGCAGGCTGATGCGCCAACCGCTGAGCCAAACCGGCCAGGGCTACTTGTTTGCTCTTAAATGTTTCTGCCTAGCAAAGGAATTGTGCAGAGTCCACGACGTCTAGCAGTGTGGCAAGGCCGAGGGCACCACCAGCCACGTGCTGGGGTCGGCTCGCGCTGGCCTGTGAGAGCCTGCTGTTACATTCTTAGGAGTTTTGCAAGCTGGTTGTTAAACACAGCCATTATTAAGAATTAAATTATGCAAACTTTCAATTAAATAAATTATATTAAAAACAGACCTACTAAATATTGAAGTCATTATTTTCTCATTATTTTACTAGTTTGTGCTCTTGAGGTTATTTATGTCTTTCACGCAGTTGGGCTCTGCTAGTTGGGGTTCCGCATGCTCAGATTCAACCAAACACAGACCTGAACTGTGGGGAAGTGACATTGGTGCTGCTGTGCACTATGGAATGAGGCCTATTATGGTCACATCTGCACTGAACATGTACAGACTTTTTCTAATCTTCATTCCCTAAACAATACAGTATAACAACTATTTATATAGCAGTTACATTGTATTAGGGATTGTAAGTAATCTAGAAATGATTTAAGGTATACGGGAGGATGTTCATAAATTATAAGCAATATTATGTCATTTTATATAAAGCACTTGAGTATCTGTGGCTTTTGGTATTTTTAGGGGTCTTGGACCCAATTACCCGTGGATACCAGAGGATGACTGTGTCTATAAGGTAGAAATATTATATAATGTGTGCTTCTGTGAGTCTCTTCTAACTCTACTTTTGGTAGTCTCCCCCTGCAACTTGAAATTAGCCACAGTGGGAATATTTACACCACTCAAATGGGCACATGCTAGAAACCAGGGCCTTTTCCCCCTGGAGAACCAGTTGGTCGCCATTTACCAGCCTACCATGGCCTCTCCCCCATCCCTGCCCCACTTTGCTGCACCCCTCATTCCCACTCCCTGAAGTGGCTACTTTCATTGCTTTTAGCTGTTTCTTTTTGCACTTACCCCCATATTTCTTAATTGTCTGATTTTTACTGCCATGCCTTGATTTTTAAAATCTTAGACCTTGTCTATTGACTTTCCATTATGGATGATGGGAACTGGCGCTCCTAGCTCCCCTCTTACCACACACACACACACACACACACACACACATACTTCCCTAGCTCTGTCCGCTCAGCACATTTAAGCACAACTCTTGCTCCGCAGGTGTGGCTCAGTGGATTGAGCCTCATCCCGTGCACCGAGAGGTCCCAGTTCGATTCCCGGTCAGGGCACGTGCCCAGGATTCGGGCAGGGTGTGTGAAGGAGCCGCCGGTTGTTTCTCACATCGATGTTTCTATCTCTCTCTTCCTTCCTCTCTCTCTAAAAAAATCAATAAAAACATATTATTTTAATTAAAAAAATAAGGCACAACTCTTGTTTAAATAAATATTTGGGATTTTTATTATCACAACTATGTGAGTATTGTATATAAATCATACATTATGATTGCGTTAGCTTTCTCATAAAACTTTTTTTTTTCCTGCAGTTAATAATTGTATTTTCAATTTGCTTGATTTCTCTATAGAACACTGGTTTTCAAACTTTTCTTCTTAGCAATGGAACTTGTCTTTCTAACACAACTTTAGGTGAAACCCCACTATAGAAAACAGGACGATCAGAGCTGCCGGGCAGAAAGCCTTCCCTTCTGGGCTGCCACGGAGAGCCAAGCATGCTGTGCACTGCAAAGCCCTAGGGGTCACCATTCCCATAAACACCAGTGTGATGAAGTCATGATCATTATAATTCCCTCCCCCCATTGGGGGATGCATCCATTGTACAAAGAGAGGTCCACCTGGACACATACATTACACTGAGATTATTCTCTGTTTCAAAAAGACTTACTCACTTCCCAAAGTGGGGCTCTGACCTCTGAATAGGTTCCAGGGATGTTGCTTCACCGGCCCCTCTAGTGCATCGCCCACAGGCTGCTGGCCAGAGCTGCTGTTAGCTGATGGCCACCTATTGACTGATTCCCTGCCCCTCAGATTTACCTGGGCTGGGCTGGGTGCCAAAAGCTTAATGCAAACAGCTTTGCTCAGGGATTGTTCCATTGCAGCCTTTGGGATCGGGTGTCAGGAATGGCTCTGTCAGAGAGGGAGTGAGCTGTGGAACCAGACGGTGCAGGGCCCCTCTGCCCATGGAAGTCAGAGCTGGAGGAGGGGACCTGGCCAACGACGAGCAGTGGGGTGCAAACGCTCCGCTCTGAGGATCACCCCTGGGTGGGAATCCACATTGCACCTTCAGCTGGGTAACCCTGGGCTTGTTGCTTAGCCCTTCTGGGCCTTAACTTCCTCAAGTCTATTTCATAGGGTTGTTAGAAGAGTTAAAGAAGATAAAGTGTAACCCTAATAAATCCCAGGACCACATGTGACTCAGTCTCTGCTCAAAGTCTCATTAAAGAAACATTGCCCAACAGTCTGAAAGTAATTGGAAGAGATATCCCAATTTGAATTGCATCCCTCATGGACTGTCCAAGGGAATTCCATTCTTAATGGACACCCAAATCCTTTCCCTCCATTCTCCGATTTCCGCACCGTGCACAGCGTCGGCCAAGTTCTCTGGAGTACAGCCTCTGAGGCTTGCTTCCTCTGTCTCTTCCTCTGCCTCATTCCTCACCCTCCATCCCACCGTTCTTACCTCTCCTGCCATTGCTGGGTCACCAAACCCCCAAAGGATCTGGAAATGAGCTGGTAGGGGTGCAGGCAGGAAGTGTGTGGAGCGAGGTTACGGCAGGACGACACTGAAATCGCTCATGGCCACCACACTGGCGAAGTGTAGGGACGCATATCAGGGCCTTGGAGAAACTGGTTCTCGGCCTCAGTTTGCAGCCCCGGAACCTAATGGAGAGTAAGGTATGACCTGCCCACGCTTCTGAACACCGACCACCGTTAACAGATGGGCAGTGATTGGAAAAACTCTCCCCATTTCTACCCAATCCCCTAAAAAATTAGTATTAAAAAAAAAACCTCCCGCCCTGGCCGGTTTGGCTCAGCAGTTGGAGCGTCGGCCTGCAGACCAGTCAGTCCCAGGTTCTATTCCCACTAGGGGCACGAACCTAAATAAATAAATAAATAAACAAACAAACAAATAAATAAATAAAAATTTAAAAACCTCCTTGTTTCTTCCAAACCACCAAAAAGCTAGTATTAAAAAAGTGAAGACAGAGCTTCTGCCTACAATTTTCCTTTCTTTCCCTGACACACTTTTTTTTTTTTTTATCCTCGCCTGAGGACATTTTTTGTTCAGATAGAGTGGGAGGGAGAGAGAGAGAGAGAGAAACATCGATGTGAAAGGGACACGTCGAGTGGTTGCCACCCGCACAACCCAACCAGGGCCGGGGACAAACTGCAACCGAGGCATATGCCCTTAGCGGGAACTGAACCTGGGTCTCTCTGGACTGCAGGCCGATATTCTAACTGCTGAGCCAAACCAGCCAGGGCTCCCTGCCACCTTCATAACCACTAAGCATGGACATACCCTTCCCATATCCTTCAGCCCCACATCCCTTGTTCCATCTTTTATGGACTCTATTTCTCTCACAGGATGTCTTTCAGGTTATGTACTGAGCACCTACTATGTGCCAGGCTTGTTAAGAGTGGGAGATTCAGAGACAAAGATGACAGGCCCTGTCCTCAGTTGCTCACAAATAGACAGACTGCAATTCCATGTGATGATGCTATAATGGAGGGAAGCCCAGAATGCTGTGAGCACACAGAGGAGAAGCTCTTAACCCATTGAGAGAGATCAGGGAAGACTTCCTGGAGGAGGTATCATCTAGCCTGTAAAATAATAATAACTATCATATATTGAACAGTTTTATGATGGTAAACTCCACCGTAACACTTTGCTAAGCATATAAGCTCAGTTAATCTTCACAACAATGCTAAGAGGTAAGGTGTTGCTGTCCTCGTTTCAGAAATGAAGAAACCAAGGCTAAGAGCCATTCATTGACTTCCCCCCAGGCCACACAGCTGAAAGGTGGCAGAGCTTTGATTCAAACTCAGGCGCTTGTGACTCCAAAGACTGCGTTTCCCCACAGGGCATTGTGTACAGGTGTGTAAGGTGCACGCTGAACAAGCCGCCACATCCAACAAGCCGCAGCACCGTCCATGTCGCAGGCAGAATAACTTAGGCATACGACAGTGCTTGCATCGATGCAGGGGCTCGGGCCTCTCGGCTGACTCCTGGAGCAGCAGGAAAGAGCCTCCTCCTGACCCACACCTGAGTGCAGCCCCTCTCCTGGGCAGTGGGCAGTGTGGGCCCTGGGAGAGTGCATGCGCCCCTGTGTGGCGTATGTCCTGCCAGCGCAGCAGCCTGTGGTCATTCATTTTAATGTTTAACGTGAAACGTTTTTACTCGAGGAAGAGGCACCTTTTGCTAATTTGCACAAAGGCGTCATCTGGACTAGCGCACCACCCCCTTCACCATCAGTGTGGGGAGGACACAGCCCAGAGCAATCCGGCCCAGCCTGACGCCGGAACTCAAAGATGAGTAAGACAGTGTAGAGGCCCAGAGTAAAGACTCTGTTCAGGGCCACCCCTGGGCCATCAAACTAATCTCCTGCTCTCTCTCTTCTCGGCAGACAGGCAGGATTGAACCCAACTACCCCAAGGTCTGTGGGCACCAGGGGAACGTGCTGGACATCAAGTGGAACCCCTTCATTGACAACATCATTGCCTCGTGTTCAGAGGACACATCGGTGAGCAGGGGTGTCCTCGAGGAGGGTGGACCCCCCTTCTTCTTCCTGGAGGCCTTCCTTCTTAACTCCCGTCTTCCTTCTTCGGCGTCTTCTGCCCCAGGCTGGGGAGGGGAGCCAGGAGAAGGACTGAGGGAGCAAATTCATAGACTGTCTGACAGATCTGTGCTGTTAGAGCGATTTCACTTGGAGGTGTTGATTGTAGGGGTGAGAATTAGAACAAAAAGATTAAGTGTGTGACTCAGCACCTGTCTGTGGTCTCAGAAGGAGAAGGCAGGAGGGAGCAGGGACAAGGAGGGTAGGAACAGGGAAGGAAATGGATGAACCATGAGGAGAGAGCCTTGATTTTGCAGGCTGGGCATGGCGAAGGCACCGTCTGGTTTTGTCACCTGGGAGCCATGGCTTTAGGGAGGGACAGTGGCCTGAGAATCGTCATGACTTGTCCAAGGGCCCACAGTGGTGGCCCAGAATTTGAACTCCATGTGTTCCACCACTTAATGGAAAGAGAGAAAATAGGAGAAGGGAAATGAGGAGGAGGGAAGAGGAAGAGAGAGCAGGTAGGAGAGATGGAGATGGAGGGAGAAAGGGCAGAAAGAATTTGAAGAGGGATAAAGAATCCAGGGAGAGCCCTGGCCGGTTTGGCTCAGCGGTTAGAGTGTCGGCCTGTGGTCCTGAGAGACCCGGGTTCGGTTCCCGCTAAGGGCACGTACCTCGGTTGCAGTTTGTCCCCGGCCCTGGTTGGTCGTGCGGGTGGCAGCCACTCGATGTGTCTCTTTCACGTTGATGTTTTTCTCTCTCCTCCTCTCTCTCCCTCCCACTCTATCTGAGCAAAAAACGAAAAAGTGTCCTCGGGTGAGGATAAAAAAAAAAAAAAAAAAGAATCCAGGGAGAGCTACATGTGAAGTTGTTTTCTGGCCACCCTTCCCCCGAGCTCTGCTGGTTTTCACAGGTGGAGGTCGGGTCAGGTGTGGCAGTAGCCTTCCCGGTTCTGCAGAGGGGCCTATGCCTTTTCTCACACCGCCCCGGGACACCGTCCATGCATAGCTCAGAAGCAAGAGGGGATTTCAGAGCATCGCTGAGCAATGAGGAGGAGCTGCCTGAGCCCCTGGGGTTCCCAAGTGAAGGAAGGTCAGCCTTCCAGTCAGGCCAGAGCATCTACCTAGCGCGCACTGGCATGTCCCGGGTCCAGGGCGTAGGCTCCCAGGATATTGGAACTAGAAGGAACTCAAAAGCTCATGTCTCCTGTCTTTCCAGACTAGACTGTGATCTGAGAACAGAGGTTCTGAATTCCAAGCACCTAACACAGAGCCTACTTCCTAGTAAATGCTTAGTAGGTGTTGAATGGGATGGATGGTTGGATGGACGCCTGGATAGATGGATGGCCGGGTGGGTGGATAGATTAATAGATTGCTGGATGGATGACTACACTGATGGTTAAGAGATAACTGGGTGGATGGATAATGGACGGAAGGAAGAATGATTAGATAAAAGTAAATGGATAGATGGATGAATGGGAAGATAAATGTGTGAGTGAATGAAAATAGCTCAACTAATCAATTATCCAAAGACAAACAAAGGGTCACAGTAAACAGTCTCCACTGGGTAATAAAGTTGTGGGGAGGAGGTCAGCTGGCACAGTAGCTGGTAAATGAGAGCGGGGGGGCGGGGCTAAGAGAGGGGGATGGGCTTGACCAGTTCCTGAAGCCAAAGGCCTCGGTCAGCCCGAGAGGACTCCTCAGAGCTGCAGCAGTGAGAGCAGGGCCCACGGGAGCCGAGGATCGAGAACTGGGGATGACACGGGCCATTAGGTTCGGTTACTTTCTTCAGCTAAATGGGGACGGTGACTGGGGTCAGAGCACAGGCAGGCCAGAGGATGGACGTGAGGAGATGGAACCCAGGACAGGTTTGAAAAACGAGGTCACTGGTTGCTTCTGGGCTGGGAAGGAGGCACCTGGAGCTGGTGGGGGCTGGAGGGGTCAGTGGTCAGTGCGGGTAAGTCCTGGGTTCAGTGGGAGAAATGGTCGGTGGAGGCGCTGCCCATCCTTCTCTTCTGAGTGCAGGGAGCCCCCGGAGTGCCAGCACCCACAGCCAGCCCCATCACTGCTTGCTAAGGTATTAAGTGACTGTGACCAGCCATCAGGGAGCAAACATCCCTGTACCTGGGGGCTGCCTTGCACTGACCTCCTCCACTCAGTCTGGGCTGGACACTTGACACATAGTTAGCCCTCACAGCTCCCTGTGAGCCAGGCACTGCCACCCCCAAACTGAGGGTTGGGGGCAGGTCGTACAACGAGGAAGGCGAGGAGAGCTTGTGGTCCCAAGCCCTTCCTGCTCTACGAAGTCTCATCATGACACAAATCCACAGAGTTTGTGGGAAGCCTCGGGCCCCCAGTGTCGTGTCTGTCTGAGGAGCCAGCCGGGAGAGAGAAGAGCAGTGTCCAGCTTGCTGTGGGGACAGACGGGTGAGGGCAGGGCTCTCGGGGTCACTGGCTGTCCTGGCTCCTCCTCAGGGGGAAATGTCTGCCCGAGTCGGCCGAGGGTGGCAGGGCTCACTGGTGCTGATGGCCCTGCCCAGTCCCAGCTCAGCACCTTCTTCACCTGAGGTCCGGTACCGCGCGCTCCAGGACCCCGGCTGGTAAACCGGACATGCATGCTGTGCGCTCAGCACAAGCCCCAGCCCTGGCCACACAGGCCCAGTGCTCCTCCAGCTTCCACACACCGACGGGGGGCCCGCAGGGTGCCCACCAGGCTCCCAGATGCCGGGCTTCAAGGCAGTTCGACTGTGGAATTTGACCGAGCTGGGATTGGATCCCAGCTTCACCATTTACCAGCCGGGTGACCAAGGGCATGTTACTTCTCTCGGAGCCTCAGTTTCGCTCATCTTTATAACAGTCATCATGATGACACACCCCTGGGCAGTGGTTGTGAGGAGGAAAGAAGGTCTGTGCCTAGCTCTGTGCCCGCTAGTCTCAGTCCTGCCCTCGAAACGCCACCAGCAGGGGGCAGCGTCACGCCCCATTCACTGACATGCGGTGCAGAATGGAGGCTGCAGCCGCGCAAGTCAAACAGGGCTGTGCGCCCAGGGAGAGAGGGATTTTCTGACCAAGGTGCAAGCAGGGCAGAAGAGGTTGGAGAGAGCAGGACCCTGGAGAAGGAGGACCTTGGCGGCAGAGAAAGGACGTAAGGGTGCCCAGGAAGGGGGCAAAGGCACAGGCCTGGAGGGGCAGTGTCTTAGGCAATGTAACAGCAGACCACAGACTGGGTGGCTTACAGTCAGCAGACATTTATCGCTCACAGTTCTGGAGGCTAGAAAGCCAGAGCTCAGTGTGCCCACATGGTCAGGGGTCTCTGTGCCCTCACACTGTGAAGGGCTAGAGCGCTCTAGACTCTTTCTTAAGACACTAATCCAGTTCCCGAGGTCTCCACCCTCGTGACCAGATCACCGCCCAAAGGCCTGACTTCTAATAACATCACCTTTGGGGGTTAGGATTTCAACATACGGATTTGGGGGCAGCAGGCACATTGAGCCACAGCAGAGTTCGTAGGGTGTGCTTGGAAGATGGAGGTGTCTGGTGTGGCTGGAACGCTGGGAGCTGGCCAGGGGAGGAGTGGGCCGGAGGGATTCCCAGGGGGTGGGGGCAGAGAGGGAAGGCTTGGGATGCCAGGGTGAGCAGCTGCACTTTGAAGCGAGGCCTGTGCCTCTCAAGCCATCTGAACATAAGCCGGGACACCAGGTGTGCGGTGTGTGGGTGACGCCGCATGCTTGGGGGGTGGGGGCGCCGGGGAAGGGAATTCCTGGGGCTGCAGCTCTGTGGAGGAGGGGGCCCAAGCCAGCCGGACAAGTGCTGGAATGTGGCTCCACAGAGAGAAGGGGAGCACCCAGGGCAGGAGTGTGAGGAGAAAGGACACAGGGTTTGGGGGCACAGGGAGGGACGGTCTGGCTCCGGCTGCTGATCCAGGGAGAAGGCGATTAAGTCTCCAGACAGAGAGGAGCTGAGCTAAGCTGTCGCTTGCCAGTCCAGCTGCTCCAGAAACTGCAGCTCAGAACCCAACTGTGTCCCATAGGTCTCTGCCCCTCCCCAGCTTCAGGGCCAAGGGGCTTGGCCTAGAGCCAACAGGCCCTGAGGCTGGGTCCTGGCCCCTCCTGGAGAAGGGCACACTGAGGCCCCAGGGGCAGCACCTTGCTCAGGTCACACAGGGAGTCTGTGTCTCGGGCAGGGGCAGAATCCAGTCTCCGACTCCCAGCCAGAACCCTGAGCACCTCACCAGCAGCCGCAGCTTCACAGGTGAGGAAACAGGCTCAGCATCATGAAGGGCTCAGAGCCATCAGAGATCAGTGTTTCCATCTTGGCATCTCTGCGCACAGCCCATGCGGGCACCTTGACCAGGTCCTGGAGGATGGGGTGCACAGGCCGTGGACCTGTCAGTCTGGCTGGGCTGTTCTGACCGACCTTCCTCCCTCCACCAAGTGCCTCAAGGGCAGGCCTCTGAGACACCCTCCCTCCATCCACTCCGGCCCAAATAGTCAACTTACTGCACATCAGAAACAACATCCAGACCAGGGCTAAGAGGGCACTCAGCAGACCTACTGTGTGCCAGGCACTGTGCTACACACACACACCAGGGCTGCAGGGAACCAGCCCCAAGGGGCCCGGAGCGGAGCTGCTCACAGGGGTCTGCCTGTGCGCCCACCGCATCCCTCCACCGCCCTCTTGTCTGAGAACATTCAGAGGACATGAACATTCAGAGCCTCCACCCCTCCCAGCTCCTTTCCTTCCCATATCCTCCATCCCTTGAAAAATCTCCCTGTCCCTCAGATCAGCCTCCCACACCCCAGAGAGTGAGCAGGCCCCTAGTAGTCTAACCCATCCCTCCCGGGATCCAGTGCCGGTCCCCAAAGCCATCCCCAAGGGATCCTGTCATGAGGGATGGGTGGGGGCTGTCACTCCTGGCATCTGGTAGAATCCAGTTCTTTCTGCTGCTGGGTGATGTCACCTATTGTT